AAATTAGCATTTAACCTTCAATTTATTTCTCGTGCTGGTGTTTTGCTTGGAGAATCAGAGACAGGCCATGGAATGCGCCTTATCAGGGCATCTTCCAATCCATTTACATTCTTCTCCTCCAAATCCACTTAACCATCTAAACAACAACTTCCAATTTTTCAGAATCAAAGCCTCTACAACATCCCCACTAAAATCACCCAAATTCTCCTCCAAAACCCAAAGACCATTCCAAGAAGAAGATGCTTTTCCGTCATCTCCACCTCTGCACACCAAGAACCCACATGCGATACACAAGGACATCCAAAGATTCGCCAGGCAGAACAAGCTCAGAGAAGCCCTTGCAATTATGGATTATCTGGAGCAACGGGGAATCCCGGTTAACGTCACCACTTTCTCCTTACTTCTCGCGGCTTGTGTTCGATCTAAATCCTTAACTGAAGGGAAACAAATTCATGCGCATATTCGGATAAACGGGCTCGAAAACAGTGAGTTTTTGCGTGCTAAACTTGTTCGTATGTACACTTCTTGTGGCTCACTAGAAGACGCGCAGAAGGTGTTCGATGAATGTACTAGCCACTCTGTCTATCCGTGGAATGCATTGCTAAGAGGCGCAGTGATATCGGGGAGGAAACGGTATCCTGAATTGCTTTCTATTTATTCAGAAATGAGGGAGTTAGGAGTTGAGTTGAATGAGTACAGTTTCTCAAGTGTTATTAAGAGCTTCGCGGGTGCATCAGCACTTAGACAAGGGTTGAAGGCTCATGCCCTTCTGATCAAGAATGGTCTGATTGATAGTTCAGTGCTCAGGACTGGTTTAATAGATTTGTACTTTAAATGCGGCAAGATTAAGATTGCTCATCATATGTTTGAGGAAGTTCCAGAGAGAGATATAGTTATGTGGGGGGCAATGATTACGGGTTTAGCTCTTAATAGGCTGAGGAAGGAGGCTTTGGAATACGTTAGGTGGATGATAAGTGAAGGGATGTATCCGAATGCAGTTATATTAACTACAATTCTTCCTGTTATTGGTGAAGTTTGTGAGCAGAAACTCGGCAAAGAGGTTCATGCTTATGTGGTGAAGACTAAGAGTTACTCAAAGCAGCTGAGTATTCAATCTGCCATGGTTGACATGTATTGCAAGTGTGGAGATATGGACTCTGGGAGGCAAGTCTTTTACAGTTCGAGGGAGAGGAATGCTATTTCTTGGACTGCATTAATGTCAGGATATGAATCAAATGGGAGGCTTGACCAGGCATTGAGGTCTGTGATTTGGATGCAACAGGAAGGATTTAGGCCTGATGTTGTCACTGTCACAACTGTTCTTCCAGTTTGTGCTAAGTTGAAGGCCCTGAAGCATGGGAAGGAGATTCATGCTTATGCTGTTAAGAATTGTTTCCTGCCTAATGTGTCTTTAGTTTCTTCTTTGATGGTGATGTACTCTAAGTGTGGTTTATTGGAGTATTCTTTTAAATTGTTTGATGGTTTGAAGGCGAGGAATGTAATTTGTTGGACAGCCATGATTGATTCATATGTGGAGAATGGCAATTTTAATGAAGCATTTACAGTTTTCAGGTCAATGCAGTTATCAAAGCACAGGCCAGATTCAGTTGCAATGGCAAGAATACTTCGGGCTTGTAGCGAACTTAAGGCTTTGAAGTTTGGGAAGGAGATTCATGGACATATTTTAAAGAAAAATTTTGTGTCAATACCATTTGTTTCTACAGAGATCATGAAGATGTATGGTAGTTGTGGGTTGACTGATTGTGCAAAGTCGATATTTGATGCAGTTCCAGTCAAGGGTTCTATGACATGGACTGCCATTATAGAAGCTTATGGATACAATGATTTGTGTCTAGATGCAATTAGCCTTTTTGACAAAATGAGATCTGATGGCTTTACCCCAACAGAATTCACTTTCAAAGTGGTCTTGTCAATTTGCTGTCAAGCTGGATTTGTGGATAAAGCTTGCCATATTTTCAGTCTAATGTCTCATGGATATAAATTAAAGCCATCTGAAGAACATTACTCATTGATCATCAGACTTCTTACTCGTTTTAGTCGATTTAAGGAGGCTGAAATATTCAAGGAAATGAGTTCTTTATCATCATGATATACATGCAGAGGAATCCTGTGTTTTCATGTTTGAATCTAAAGTGTATGCCCTTGAGCCTACTTCTGTTCGTCGATTCCTTTAGTGTCTGCAGATTTGTATATTTGTTGTAGCTTAATAGGTATGAATTGTAATGTTCCTAAACTGAAAAGATTGAAAATAGTAAAAATTAGAAAATATATCAAATTCATTATTTTCTTGGTGCATGTTTCTTCTTGTTTCCTATGTTATTAGTTTTTAAGGCACCAGCAATTGATATAGCAGAATTAGAATGGAACAGAAATTTTAGTGTTATTTATTTGCTGCTTATATCATTGATTACTCAGAAACATATGGTACTATTTTCTGATTATAACTCAATAGATCTCATATCTACTCAATGGGACTCGGAAATTTTTGTGTTCTCTAGTTGCTGCTTATATCATTGAGCCAGTACATAGCAATTTCATATATGCAAGAAAATTTGGGCTGCACTACAATTTTTTCATTTCTTAAATGCATTATGTTAATATAGAGAGTGTGTCTTTAATATTGTTTAAAGAAATTTCTTTAGAAATACGCAAATGACACAATCGTCCAAACCAACAAAAAAAAAAAAGAAAAAGAAAAAAGAAAAAAGAAAAAAGAATTAAGATTGATTAGAGAACACTTATGTTGTGAATTGTGATAGTGTCGCTCCAAACATCCTGTGAGCTACACCATGCGGTAGAAATTAGAATGAAAATGTACTTGTTTCCTAAAAAATTCTTAAGTGGTTTTGCGCATGTGAAATCTGGATGTGGATATGTTACTTACTTTTTTGAAAAGCAAGAAAAGGGATTTTCCGAACGACCCTCTCCTTTCACGTGTCGACCTCCGTTAGAATGACTGGAAGAACATTGATTTAAAACTGAGTTTTGCACCCTTCACATGATTTGCAAGAGGAAGGGATATCTTCCTGCAGAATTAGTTGCTAATTTGCCTTGGACAATCTCAAAGATTTTACCACTATCGTGAATTTAAGTTAATAGATCTAAAATGAACTAAATTAGATAAAAATTAAAATAAACTTGATGTTTATTGCGTGAAAGGAATCAGAGAAGCAATTACACAAACTAATTTGGGTACTTGAATGCTAAAAACAATTTAAATTTATTGGGATATGTGCTAAAACTGAAATATGAAAATTAAGATGAGCAATTATTAGGAAACTAAAGAATTGAAAAATTAATGAGTTTCTGTGTAAGGCTGGTCCTGTTTTGAAAAAATTCAAAAAGTTTCTATTTATATCCTTCTTGCAAGTCTTGGCTAATCAAATCACGGATAACTTCCTCCCAAATTCTAGGGATTTTTGTTCCTTTTAAATTTAAGTTGCAACAAACCGGATAATTTTTATCCTTCCAACCAATTTGACAGATATACATCCCTTCAATAGATTTGATTTCACCTTATCGATTGATACGTGCATCACTTAAAAAATATAATTTATAGTGTAAACAATAC